CAAATTTGGATATGTTAATTAGAATAGACATTACCCATAGCATTATTCTGTTAGATATAGTATATTAAATGATTAAATATCAGACAAACTCGAACGTATTCGATCGATTTGACGTTTATCAGCGCTCAGTCTACTGTGCAGATAGAGTTAATTTGACAAAGGGCTCCTGGTACATTTTGTATTGAATGTCGCAGTCTCTCATTGAATCGATTAATTTGGATTTGTCCCTGAATGCTTTGTTACGCGTAAATTATTAATAGTATCCGTACAACATTCGGTCTTTATAACATTGGTATCCACCATAAAATAAAACTATGGTATGCAGGCATACTTTCCTTTACGAAAAAGTGAAATGAAAAGAATCTTACCTTTAATACTGTTGGCTTTTGCAACATTTAGTGCGAATATTTCTGATGTAGACGCTGAAGGCCTTCCGAGGTACGAGGCTAGAATGAATTGCTACGAAACGTATCAGTGAAAGATTACAACCAAAAAACTTTCTTTTATTAGTTGGAATTTCAAAAGAATTCAACTTAGGTCCAAGTACATTAATCGGAAATTCAAGCGGGACACTACATCGACAGGCTTGGTGGATATGTTGCAGGACGTCATGGTGAATAATAGATAATGCTTATTTGTCAACGTTGCCCATCAACTTTAAAAAAAATATTATATCTAATCCCATGCTTTGCTTTATTATTTACTAGTATGTAGCAACTGTTACAATAGGAACACCTCCCCGCATATTTGATGTTGTAATAGATACTGGCTCAGCAGATTTATGGATACCCGACTCTTCGTGCGTTGGAACAGGATGCTCTGGCAAGCACACATTTGCCGCCAACTATTCTCTCTCGTACGGCGGTGACGGCGGTAGTTGGCAAATTACTTATGTAGATCAGTCGGGTGCATCGGGAGTAACATCAAGTGAGACGGTAATAGTTGGTGGCTTCATATTAAAAAACCAAAAATTTGCAAGAGCGACGAGAATGAACGACGGCTTTCAAGGCCTACCGGCGGATGGGATTATTGGGTTAGCCGGACCTCAGGATGCTGTTATTCCGGGTGAGTAATTAAGAATCTTGCGCCAGTGCAAGGGTTAATATATACTTACAATAATTATACTTTCTAGGGACAGTAACGCCAATTCAAAACATGAAAAATCAAGGTTATATAACTAGCCGCTCATTCGGTGTATGGTTAGGCAAATCAAGCAATGGGGGTTCAGGAGAAATTACCTTCGGCGGGTTCGATCCTTCTCACATAGACGGCAATCTAACTACTATTCCTCTTGCTAGCCGAAGCTTTGACAGTGTTGGGATATGGGTGGTCCAAATGAACCAAATATCTGTTGGCAGCAGGGTATTCTTCCTCGGGCCAAAAGAGGGGTTTACTGTTGTAGACACGGGTACATCACTAATTGCTGCCCCGACCATTATAGCAGATCAAATTAACAAACTATTCAACGGTACTTTCTCGGCCCAAGCGCAGGCGTATATTTTAGATTGCAATGCAAAGTTGCCAGACTTATCGTTTTCCTTCGGAAATGCATCTTTCACCGTGCCGGGCGCTGATTTAGTTGTTGATGCGGGACAAGGATTGTGTATTAGCGCTATTCTTCCTATAGACATTGGTGGCGGTTTGGTAAGTTCCCAAAGTTATGACATCTACGTTTAGCGGGAAAAGTTGCTGATCGCTAAAAAAAACTTTTTATTCTATTCTACCAGTCATTCCTTGTGGGCGATACGTTCTTAAAAAGCAATTATGCTTATTTCGACCTCGATTCATCATCGATTGGGTTTGCCCGGTCTAAATGATATAATGAAACAAAACCATGTGCTGAGAATTGATTAATATATGACCTGACATCGTAGAGCGAATAGAATTAAATTATTTTCACTAAAATTAGTGTTTCTATGTGTTTACTCCGAAAACTTTGCATACAACAGCCAATAAACGTTTATCCCAATAATGCGAACAACGGAAGTTTTCGATTGACAAACAATGCGTCACACGGGAAATAAAAATCGTATGATCGACGGACATCACCTTATCGTTATATTAAATCTTTTACCTGAATCGTAATCAATCTCCTGATAATTTTTCATTTAAAAGCAGATATGATTGCTGAGAGAAAGTTGCGTATTTGT